TTCAAAAATTTCCACAGAGTGAATTGGCAGACTGAGAAAAAGCAAATAGACAGATAGCACAGTCTAACGTATCTATGGTATTTAAGTAAAGGAAAAAAAAAAGATTAAATTTCCTCTAGAAAAAAAAAAGTATTCATAAAAATACATTTGGCATCTTTAAAACTTATTCATAGAAGACAAGCTCCAGAAACCTATTTAGGGTCCTAACTAAGCAATGGCCCTAGTTTAAGTACCTATCAGATCTGAAGAAAAAATAAAAACCAACCAGCTCCACTGCTGATGTAATATCTCTTTAAAATAAGGGAGTTTAGAACACTGTTTATATTTTATCTGTTGCATGGAAGAGTAGCAGATGTTAATATTATATTCTGGAATAATGAACAGCGAGATTCAGATTTATCATAACACTTAACCATCCTCTGGGAAAAAGCAAGTGGGAATCATAAGACACAGAAGGAAGATATAAAGGTGACAAGCATGCATTACTGTAAGGATGAGAATATTTAATATGTAGATGTTGATTGCCCCAATATACAATTTAATGAGGAGGTTTAACACATTTATCGGACCTCCTACTCATTGGGTATTCTTCCATAGCATCAAGCTCTTAAAGGTTACCAGGTATATTTCCACTTGGGTTCCTGAATTATATAGCACCATGACTTTTTTATATGCATGTTTAATTACCATTCCAATCATTTTATCTGTTCTTAATCAAGGCTAAGCAATCATCATGAATGTCTTTTTTAAAGAATATGGTAATTTGCTTCCTCCCAGTCCTTCAGAGCAGTGTCAGGTTGTAATGAAACATCTAATATTTTTGTTAGTATCCCAATTACTTCATTTTTAAATTCCTTCAGTATTTTTGAAGTAAATTATCAAGTTCTGTTGAAATGCTGCAATTTAAGACTGATCTAACTTCAAAATTAGCTTTGTTTTGAGTAAGGTGTTGAACAAAATGACCTCCGGATGTCCCCGCCAATCCACTTTATTCTGTGACTGAAATTAATAACAAAATTTGCAGCTGGGGTAGGCTGATAGAAATCTTATTAAAATACCTCCTTTAGAAGTTCTATGAGGGGCTTTTTGTTTTTTATTTTGTTTCATTTTGTTTTGGTTTTTATTTTTTACTTAATTACTGTGTTCATTGGTCCTTTGATTTATGTTTGTATTCTGTTGGTTTGCTGCAATTTTTTATTTTTTGTAGCATTGTTTTCTTCAACATGTTTCTGTTCTGCAGGATTCTGTGTTTACAAATACAAAATACTGGAACAGGTTTTTACTTTTTTGTATACAGTATGTAGAGGTAGATATTTCAGTATTTAGATATACAACAGCTCAGTTTTAAACATATCAAGAGAAATCATGCCCTCCTTCAAGGTCACCTCTTCAGGGTTAATCCCAAATTGTCCTGTATTTCATATATATGATTGCCTTATAGCCTTTTAGGACTTTATGTGTTAGCTGTATTGAATGCTCTTAGTATTTTCCATCTATTATTACAAGGCAGGCTTGTCTCTTAGGTAGGCATTAGTCTAGGAAAATATAAATGTTTTTACAACTCATTTATAAAATCAACTAAGGAGAAGATGGCTCCTTGGAGAAATGGGAAAATTAAATCTTTCTAATGATTTCTAAAGAAGGGGAATTAAAAGCTATTCATTCTTGTAAATAAGAAGAATTCCCAATAATATTTCAGATCCTGTCACAATCACGTGGCCATGAGGAAAATAGTTAAGCTTAAGACAAAACAGGGACAAAACCACCCAATACACTTGAAAACATTGATGTTTCACCATGCAGATTTTCAGTTCAGTCCACTGCCTGAAATAATTCTATACAGTCCACTTTCTCTGATGTACAAATGCCAAAATCAATAAACTTTTTTCCATATTTTGGAAGTAGTGACCAATGTCTCACAGTAGCCAGTCACATTTCTTGAAAAGGTTGGAGTGATTTACAGCCTAACAGAATCTGAAAAACTAAAAAGTCTCCGTGGGCTTTTATTTGAAGAAATCCATAGAACTAAAAGCTGTATAGTGCGTAAGTATCTAAGTCCACCAACCTATCATCAGTAAATATTCATGTCAGAGTTGGCAAACAAAAGGGAAGTATTTTGTAATGCAAATAATTTAGCTGTTAAGCAAACTACAGATTAATGTAATACAACAATACCAAAGCTTTTTTTACCTGTTTTGAAAGGACTAATGTATTACAGGGAGTTCTACAGACTAAACATTCATCTTTTTTGCCTGCAAGGTAAAGACACATTTAAAATATACATTTAACCAAATAGATATGGAATACATTTTTAACATAATTTGATGCCTAAACCTCTGTTTGGAGCTTGTGGAAGAAATCTGAAGTTTATACAAGAAATGTAAATAAGCATGAATAAAGAATTCAGTTCTATAACCTTTACACACCGTTGCACAGGGAAAATGGGTGTGAATGACATCAGATCTTACTCCTGCAAATAAGCATTCATGTAAATGATTTTATGAATATAATTAATGTCACTGAATGCAGGTGACTTTTAGTTCCATTAATTTAAATAAGACTACTTGTCTGGTTTAATTAAATGAATGCTTAAGTGCACTAATGAGTCAGAGTCAACCAGATATATGGCTTTATAGATTGGGGCCCAGTTTGGTTCTCTCGAAAAAATATATGAAATCTTAACTCCAAAGAATTAATAATTTTATCCTGTGAATTTTTCCAATGAAAAATTCATCAAATCACTTTTTAAAACTTTACCATTTTTTAAAAATATCTCTGATTATTTGCAAACATATTAGCAAATATTTCTAGTAAATGCATATTACTATGATATTTATAATTGACAATTTTAATAGTTGCTTCCTTTCTAAGGATTCTAAGGATCAGTGTTTATAAATATCTTTAAAGAATAAATACATTTTAAATGTGATATTATAATTATTATTGAATTCACAGCAAAAAAGTATATATAATATCTCGAGTTTTTTTCTGTCAAGCAATATTAAGAGCAGAGAAGAAAATTGCTGTTCAGGTTCTAGGGGACTGCAAGTTGTATTTAGATGCTGCTCTCTTCTCAACAGCAGCCTTATGAAAACTTTCAGTCAAAAGTTTTCAATTCTGAAATACAGAATGATAGTTTATTCTGTGTGCCCTTACAAAAAACAGGGTATTTAGCATGACCTCAAAGGGAAAAACATTGATCTGTCTGCTATTTTTTTCTATTGAAAAGCAACTTCCTTATTCTGCTATCTTTTCCACAGATCTTCATCTAAGAACATTGCAGGAGTCCCAGAATATGATCCCGGAATTGCATGCAACACACAAGAGCTTCAAAACATCACCTCCAATCCTCCTAATGCTGCTGAAAATTTTCTAGTGCTTCAGTGACAATACTGAGATTTAAAATGTCTTAAGACTATTAGCAAAACCCTGAACAAATCCTGTTTTTCAAATCGCTCTTTCACTAATGAAAAAGCATGCCCTTTACAAAATTGGACAGAACAGAATGTCACCTTATTTTTTTTTTTTTTTACAATGCAATCATAATTCATAAGCATTCAGACTCAAATTTTATTAAAGTCTTCAGTTTTCTGTGTCTTAAGTCTTGCTCTCAAAGTCACATTGCTCCAGCCAGATTCATCTAGAGGCAGACACAGGTGGTTTTTATTATTTAAAGAAAATCAATAGCAAGAATTGTAAAGGTTTGTCAATAACATTTGATTGACAAGCCCTTTTTTTTTTTTTTATCACTGTGAGTCAGAAATGCTAATAGCTAAGGTAAATGTGTACACACCAGCACCGCCTGACCTGCTGAGGCAGAGGTCTGAGCCGCCTTACCTTTCTGGAGGCAGATCTCACAGATAACATGGCCACAGCTTGTGAGGCTGAACCGTGGGGTGGGCTTGCGGGGCTCACAGAAGCAAACATTGCAAAAGACTGGGACGGCCATGGGGCAGAGGGGCAGGAGGGTCTGGCAGGGAGCAGATGGCTGAGGTAGATGCTGACTCTCCTTGCCACCCTCAGGGTGAGGCCTACAGGCCTCCCTCCGCCATGTTCCTCCTGCCTGAGGCACCGCCGGACCATGAGCTGAGGGGTGTTGGTGCCCCTCCCCCCACCCGGGGGGGGGCCTGAAGGCAGCAGAATTTGACCCTCACACCCCAAAAAAGACGTTTTTTCTGGCCTCTCGCTACCAAACTGGAGAGGTGCCCATGCAGGGGATCCCTTCTGAGAGATTTCCCCCCTCCCTTCCCCAACCATGGGCAACGGAACCAGACCAATCCCGAGGGCTCTGGGTAGGTGCTTCGCCATGAGCCCTGTCCTCCTCACAGAGGCAGCCATGCAGCAGGGGCTGCCTTCAGGTGTGCGGGAAAATGGTAGTGTTTTTTCGCTCTTAACTGCAGGGGTCTAGGAAGGTTATTCATTTACTGTCACAGGTTTGTTGTTGCTTCTTTTGGTGAGGAAAAAGAGCAAAACAAGGAGTATTTATTTTAATTTCTTAGACTGAAATCAACCCAGCGCTTGCTAATTTCCCTTGATGAAAATTTTAGGGGAAAATTCCCTTACTTGCAGTGCAGGCTGTAGCTCTGGGTACAACAGACTGCATAGGAGGAACCTCTGGCTTTTAACTTCATAAGGACTGCTGCCCCCAGATTGCTTCCCAAAAGAGCTATGATTCAGCTTCTGCTTTATAGAGTTAATTAAAAGTCTTGAATGAGACTGAAAACATTTCATCAAAGCAAAGATATTTAATTATTATTATAGATAAAGAATGAAGCACTTTCAAGCTGTAGTCAAGGCTCCAAGTCAAGTCTCAGTGATGGTTTGAGTATAGACCTAATTAATACAGAGAAACATAATCAGCTCCTTTATAAATGCTGACATGGTGCCTGTCCTTCTGATTTAAAAGCTTAAGTGTATTGTAAGTGAGATGAGTTAAGTTTGTCATTGGGATGTAGCTAGGAGCCTTACAGTAAATATCAGCTAAAGTCTGAACCACAACCTTGTAGCAACCCTTTATTAAACTTTCTTCTTGGACTTCATATACCATATGGTTGTAACACATCTTTCATTCTTTCCTACCACCAAAGATGTTATAACAAGACATGTTGTGGATGCTCTATAAAAGTGAATTTAATAACACTTAATTACTGGGCATTTCAAGTGCCAACTCTAAAGTCTCAGAAATTTTAAATATAGGACACACCTCAGTGAGTAGTTTTGTGAGATTTTATTTTGATTGATTTGGTCCATAAAGCATTGCTTTTTGTTTCTACTTTGTATCAACTTTATGGATTCTCATGTACTCAGAGCTATATTTTCATTCCCATACTGGAATCATAAGTGAACTTAAAGGGCTATGTCATTTCATTGCTAATGAAAACAAAAGGCGAGAAGATAGAAAAAATAAAGCAAGAATGCCTTTAAAACAATAATTGGTCTCGAAATATTTCAACTTTCACTACCTTTTAGACTAGTGAAGAGTCTGGAAAGACAAATAGGAAGGACAAACCACAATATTCTACTATCACTGTGTTCTCTAGAAACTTTTTAAAGTTTCATGTTTTTACATGTTACCTAAGTGCTAAGATGGGTCATGTTATAAGCACATCCAACTCTCTTACACTACTGCTGCTTTGTCAGGCCAATTATCTGAATTTTTAACCTCAGCTTTTGACTTGTAATTCTATGATACTGTAGCAACTCTGCTAGTTGTACATAAAGTATCTAAATTAAGGCATAAAGATATATTCAACCAAGCTGCAATAAGTGAAATGGAAATACATGAATAAATCAAAAACTACTAAATTCTTTAGACAGTCATGTTTCAGTGGCTGAATAATTAAAACAAAAATAATTATCACAGAAACAGACTGAAGAATTTAGTGTAGGAATAACTTAATAGGCACAAATTCATATATAATATTAATTAATATATAAATACATTAATAGATAGGCACAAATACAGTGTTTACCAAGAAACCTGTAATTTAGCTTACTTTGGCATACTTCATAAAGACTGTAATTTACATAAACAGCTGTGGGAGAGATCTGATCTCAACTCTATTGCTAAACGTTTAGGGTTTACCTGGAAGTAAAAAGTAAGTACAATTACAGATTTTTTGTCTGGGTCTCTCTTTTCCATGGTAATTGCTGCAACCACTGATCATAAACTTAAGGGTGGGCTCCACTGTCACTTAAGACTTTGAATATTTTAAAAGAAAACAGTGACAATTATATTTGAGGAAAAGCTAGGAACAGGCCGAGTTCAAGATGTTCTCACTAAATTAAGCATTGCAGGGGATATAGTTGTTTCTCTGCCTACTGTGAATCCTGGTCAGTCTGAAACACTGAACTGTTCATGGTAGTACCAAATAAGATTACTAAACAAGTAGAGAAATTTAAAGTATTAGGAAACTTTTTTTAGATTTCTCTTTTAGATTTAACAATCCTGATTAAATGCTGCCTTAGTCACCGAGTCCTTCTAGATTTAGCTTTACATCTGTATAGAGAAAAAGACTGATAAAAGATGGAATTCAAGGAATAAAAGATAAGGTTTGTGATGTTGGTAAAGAGACCAGAGTTAGAATAAGAATCAGAGGAAGATGAGAGAGAGTTACATGTAACCAATTCTCTCACAGATGTAAGGTTTCTTTGGATGTTAGGTGTTACATTGTATGCAATTTTTTAATCTGTGTATTTACTTTATAAGGTTTAAACAAGCTTTTTAGATATAAAGAAATCTCTGAGAGATTTGATTTGCCAGATTCCAATGGAGATGAGGATTAGTGTTTGTACAATAGCCCACCACAAAATACTGCTGTTGGTTTCTTCACTTGTCTTCCGAAATTTTTCTTCACGCTCCTAAAGAAAAAAGGAAAAGCATAATTACTACCTTTTGGCACCTGTACGTTTCATGTCGCTATCCACGTATCTAGACAGGCATCCCTCTTCTGCATAGCAGTGAACAAACACTTTTTTCATATTGATAAAAATTAAAGTTTGTTCTTATCCATGAGGTGGGTATTTTTACAAATCAGAACTGAGAAGCAGACATACTGTATCCTGAAGCAGATAGGCAAACAGAGCTTTCCCTTGCTCATAAAATATATATTGTGCTAAATATATTCCATTAGTACAGGCTGAAGCCTTTTTAGGTTTATAGTCATTTTCATATTGCAGTCAAGAAACTTTATGCAGCCAAATTTATTTTTTTAGGTAACTAGTTGATATATTTAAAACACAGTCTGACTGCCTGCATATGCATAGAAAAGTGAGGACAATGGGTATACACTTGAAGGAGGTCTTTATTTCTGACTGCATGGAGATATACAAATATACACTCAGTTATTTCCTTACCCACTTCAGTAAAGTTTCTGCACACAGATCAGCATGGAAACAGCAGCTGGCAACATCACCAGCAATGGTGCCTGCTACCTGCTCAGCTGCTGTTACTGACTCTGACCAGAAAAACAATATTTGGAAATTCCTTCTTTAAAATAACACCTGTTGTTATAAACATGATTTCACAGTGATCAATTAGTTTTTATGTTACAGCTTAAAAATATATAGCAAGGTAATGTAGGTTATCTTGGTTAAATACCAATAGAGTTTTATGAGTAAGTTAAAAATAGCACTGCAATAAAATAATAAACCTCATAATACTTTACAAATCAATAAGCCAATGTACAATATTTTTAACATTTCCATTAGGGAACATACATACTCTTTCATAGTTTTGTTCTTTGGATATGTGATGAATTTGCTCAATTAGATGTTCTAGTCTAAAGTTAACTTCATTCACTTTGTCTTTGGCTTGAACAACAGATTCATCCAAAAAATGTTCTCCGACTCTAATGTCCAAATGGACACGCTGCAAACAGAAAAAATATTCTCATTACTGCGTCTTCTGTGTTTTCAGAATTCCTTAGAAAAAAAGAAACAAGGAATACTTTCCCTTTAAGCTCATTACAGGAAAACAGTTTTAATTGTTTATAGAAATCCTTCCTAAAATTAGAATCAGGTTGGATATTTAAAGTGTTTAACAATTTTATTTAAAATTAATTATAAAAGTTTAAAATTTTCACTACTGTTAGGGCGTTATTTTATGCTAGTATTGATTCAAACACCATCTTTGTCCAAGCTAATTTAAAAAATGAGCACCACTAAGACTGCTCATTGTATTTCACATTCCATCCTATTATTGCAGAAATTACATTCTATAGTAATACTGCAGGAAGCTTTTTATAGATACACTTCTAGGTTTCCTCCTCTAACAGCAGTGTAAGACTGGAAGGAGACCAGCTGAATTATTACTGGCAGTTTAACATTGGTATTAAAGCAGAACCATCCATAACTTATCTTTTTTCTTTCTCCGCGCATGGTTTATCTGCTATGAAATATTTCCTAATATCCTATAAGCTATTGTATGATCTATAGCAAAAATGCCCCAAACCTGCCAAGCAACAGACCCATAGGAAGAAAAGAGAAGAATGCAACTTGCAATATTATACAACTTATATTGGCACAAATTAAAAATTTTACTAAAGTTAATATGAGAAAGTTAATAAAAAAGTTTTAGCCAAAGAGTTAGTCTGTGAAAATCCTAGAGCTTGATTTTACCACAATAGAAGTTTGGTCTACTCAGACATCAACCATATATGAAGATCACATCTTCTTTCAGCTCTCTTAGAGTTAGCTAGCTGAGTATTCAGAAATCTGTCTCACAACCTTATAGCACCCTTTGTCTACTAACTTATTTAACGTTGATTTGGAGCAGTTCAGATAACAGTCTTTTGAGAAGAGGCATATAGATAAAATTTTCAAAATTATTTGCTGAAATAGATTAATCATATCACATCTGATGGCTTTTTTTTTTTTTCAAAATCTGCAATAAAGTCAACTTTGTTAGTAGTAGGCAATATCAAGTATGCTAATATATTATTAATTTTAATACCTTTCAAAAATTAAAATGCTAAATTTTCTTTAGGAATTCAATCTACATTAGTGAAGGCATGGAAGGTCTTTATGACATGTTTATGTTAGTCAATTTTACATATCTATCTTTTTCAACCAAATAGTTGTTCTTATTGACCAAAATCTTTCACATTCAAAGCACTGTACAAACATTAAATCATTTTATAGTTAATAATTTTGCTTCTTTAATCTTAACTTCCTAAATATCAGAACAGTCTTTTTCATCTCTTCATCTTCATAATTCAAGGTTTGTCTTCTTTAATCACTAGGAAATGTTGAATTATCTGCTAGAAGTTAGACCAATCTAGTTTGTAAACTCTGCAATTTGTAAACAATTGGTACTATTAAAACAAAGAATATTTAAGAAATACACCTACCAGTTTACTTCCTGAAAACGCCACGAATCTTGTGGAGTTAGACTGGAAACAAATAATATGCTCTCCGGATAGATAAGATGTAAAGGAAAATGTTCCTTGTGGCCCATACAGTTTTGACAATAATACCTGTAATTTAGATATTATATAAGTTGGGTGCATACAATATAAATATCAATAAAAATAAAAAAACAGTATTGTGAATTGGATTTTAAAAGTAATCAATCTCATGACATCATTAAATTTATCTGAATTTCAGACTAGATTTAGAGAAAAATAAACTATTTTGCCTCACAATGAACATTGAAATGTTACAGATTTCTGCAGTTTACAAAAGCCAATGCTCTGTAAAGCATTTAAAGTTTGAAAACTAAGACCTTGTCTATGCACAGAAATATTGTCCATTGCTGAAATAGCTCAGGACCTTTCCTGGTGCAGTTTCTATGCATGATGGCTATATACAATCTCACAATAATGTTGACTTTGTCATTTTAATTTCTCATCAGCTTTTCTTTCGACTGCTCAAATGCATTCTGTATCATTTTACTTCATTAGTGAATTTTCATTGTTTTAAAATCTAACCTGTTTTCTCAGTTGTAACTTAATTTTCTTAGTGACAGTTTCTCAAATCCAGTAGTAATGCAAAAATTGTCCACAGATACCATTATCAAACATTTTCATTTCTCCTTACTTTGATAGAAATCACAATGTGCTTATATTTTTCAGCATCAAAATACTGAACTAGCTGGTAGACTGTAGATTTACTTTTTCCCAAAATGTGTCTATTATTTTCAGATATTTCTGCCTGCTAGTGCCAAAAGTCAACTCATAAATCCTACAGAAACATTTGTACAGCATATTTACCTCAGCAGAAGGAGTTGTGACAGTCACAAACATTCCCAAACCAGGAGCAGATTCAAGAAAGTCTTGTTTATGTATATCCCAGCGTTGTACTTTGTAATTCCCTATATAAAAACATAGATAAAAATCTGTTAAATAAAACATAGCTTAATATTAAACATCTTTATTGCTTTTTCAGCAAAAATGTAAAGATAAATGATTAACAGTAAAACAGTATATATATTTCATGTGGTTATGATTAAAATTGTTCAGGGGGCACTTTATAACAGTGTGAAGTGCAATAAATTCTCACTACACTAGAAAACATTCTAGAATACTACAAAAAATGTTGATTAACAAGTAATACTTTCTGATTACTCTTAATGCTCTGGCAAGATTAGCATACAGAAGGCATGCTGAGACCTCTAAAAGCATAAGTGTGCTGTATTCAAATTACATTTTTAGGATTGTCTTTTATATTTATCACATTATTAAAAATTTTATTATACATTATTTTTTGCTATCCCCTTTCAATCTTACATTTGCAGTCTTGTAGATCAATTTAATGTGCTTGTCATATCCCAGGTGAAATAGAACTTTAGCACACCTTGAATTGCTTCTTTCCAGATCAGTGTTAATCAAAAAAGTAACTCTTCCATTTATACAGGGAAAACCGTGTTACAGAATTTCTAGTATGAATGAGTAAATCAGTCAGAATATACAGAAGCACACATTAAGTCAACAATTACACTGCTGTAGAATTAGAAGACATTCTTTGTCTAGTCTGTTAAGCACTCTGGAAACCTGCATTTTTTGTGTGATGGAGACACACAATGTGTGAGGACAACATGACTAGACCCTGCTGCAGGGAGTTATTTTCACTGTGTCCTCTTTCTTTTCACCATGGCTTTACCCTATTCATCAATCACAAATTTTTCTGTTACAAGCTATCTGTATAGCATTGGTTACAAGCTATCATATAGCATTGGCAGGTACCTACCAATTACCAGTGTGTCACTGGGAACATCTTCGATTATACATTTCTCTTCTCTTTCACCACTGTGAAAATACAAAGTAAGTGAAAAAGAAATCCAAAAGTTCATAAGAAATCCTATTAATTGGCTTTTCATGGTTTTTATGTATCCCAGTCGTACTGCTTTTGAAGATAACTATTTACAAATGTGTGCAGTCCTGTGGTCGTTCCTTGTTTGCTGCTTATCAGTGTATTTTTGAGAGGAAAAAACCTGTGAGAAAAGGCAGCTGCTGGTTACACATTTATAAATAACTACAGTATGTTCTGCAGAATGAGATAACATGAAAAAGATAACTTGTAAAATCTTTCTTCTTCCTCAGCCTCTAGATTAAAATTTTATTTTATACACATAGAAGAACATGAAACAAGAAAGAACCTCTCAGGTACTTGAGATCAGGTCCCTAGATTACTGTAAGCAACCACTTCAGCTATCTCTTTCCATAAACTACTCCATTTTCAACTTAAATTAACTTGTTAACTTATATTTCCTATTTATTCTGGATGACTATTCCAAAGGTTCACTCCCCTTCTATTAAGAAATCTTGTAATTTCCAAGCTAAGTCATTGGACATATGTATTCACCTATACAAAACCCACAGACACTGTGGGCTGCAAGAATTATGAAGAATGAAGTCAAAAGAACTTGAACAATAAAAGGATTTGAAACACTAATTAACATGATACCACAGGAAAAAAATAACGACCGATTTCTGAATAAGATCTTTTTACATACGAATGTCTTTTTCTTGGGTAGTGCCTAATAAATTCTCTAAAGAAAGTTATAGTGTAAATCAAAGAATGATTGAGGTTTTTATTTTTACCCTTTGTACTAATATAGATCAATGTATATGTCTGATGACAGATTTATTTACCACCACAATTGGTTCAGTCCATTTCACAGCATGAAGTCACTCCACAGACGTTCTATCACAAGTATTAATTCACCTCTAGCGAAGTACATCATTCTTATACTCAAAAAGAGATTGTCAGACAAAGCGTCTTGATTCCTTAAATATTACTTTTTATTCTTCGGCTCCATATGGTTAAGGATAGAAGCATACAAATTGTGTTCCATAGCCATTGAATCCGTAGGAGTCTCAAAGGTGATATTAGAACTTCATTACTACTTTAGCATTTATCCATCAGAAAAAAATTTAGATCATACAAAATCTCATCATATAATTGGACTCCTATCCCTCCACTGCAGGGAGATATTGCCTGACATGCACCTGCATAAATTCTCATGCCATACTACCCCTGCAAGAAGTATAGGTTTGTCTGCAGATTGTGAGCTCCTTAAGCAGTCATCCTTTCAGCTTTTCATTGACTACTTGAGGTTTCCAGAATTCTGTGTTCCAATGTTATAACACAAAATGTACAAGGGGATGCCACTTTATCCTTCATTCTGCCCAGAACAGCTGGGAGAGACACATTACTTCTATACTTTTGGCTCATAAATGCTAACATAGTAAGGCTGTTGGACTTCAAACAAAAATAAGTCAGCCTTCAGGTGATCGGGTTGTCATGTGGCATATTGAGAGCTTTTTTGTCTCATGCATTCACAGTATCTGTAAAATATCACAGACACCACACCTGCATACCACATCCCATTAAACAGGATTCAACCAACTTCAGAATTGTTGTATCAAGTGTTAGATTTATTTTCTGAACACGATAATTATTGTCATGGAATAGTCTGAGTTACTTTTTTATGTTGATGAAAGATCAGATATTCCCAATGTACTTCAATTACCTGTAACTAGGAAAATCATGAAATGGACTTTTTTGACTTCAATACCATTAGGTATTCTCAGATCCCTTGTTCACACTCCAGTTATATCTTGCTGGGGACAGTGCTCATTCAATAATCAGAAAGGCTGGCATACGCTTCCTCTCCCCTTCTAAAAGTTAGGCACACATTAGTTTCCGTGACCACGTTTAATTTAGCATACCTAGGGTATTAGAACTATTTTTCAATTAATACAAGACTGTCTCTCCACAAAATGATCTTTAACAGCAGACTCTGTGCCATTTTGATAATTGCCTGCAATATTTCACAACAGGCTTGGTGGACAAGATCTGTTCAGGTAGAGTTGGCCCACTTTCACAGTACACTTACATAGTATAGAGTTGGTCCTCTGATACAGTTTCTCCTCAACTGAGGGAAGGCATATTTACTTAGCAAAATGGAACAGGACCTCAGACTGCAGTTACTAAGTGTGTTTCATACACATACCTCGGGCATCCATCTCAGTCACTTGGGAGTATTTGGTAGTACAAAATGCCTGCCCTCTCTTTTAGTCCACCTAAGGCTCACCCAGCCAACATTTATGCTAAGGTACCAGGGAGATCTTTTCAGTTCAGTTCAATTCACAGATAGCATCAGTCCTTCCTGTATCCTGAATTATCTACGAACGTACCCTGTTTTTTTCCTACTCATTAACCACCAAAGTGCTGCACTGGATGTCTGCAGAGAAGCCACAGCACATAGAAAAGCATAAATACATATACAGCTTCAGGTGGCATTCATGCCTTCTGTGAGACAATAGGAAGAGCTTGCATGTGTTCACAACTAACTGTCCTTAAATTTCTTAAGGTACTGGACAAGTTGTTCTCAGTAATGAGGTACCCTATTCCACTATAGGAATTGAATTTGGTATTTATGATTTTTGTAGGACCCTAGTTCAAGTCTCTGGTGACTTTTTTACTGCTACACTTACCTTTTGTCTTCCATTCTGCAAGAATATCTGCCAAGGCACCAAAGCTGATTCTTCCTACAAAACATTCTTGCTAAAATAATTGTCTTTACAAATCCGTATCAAGTTTCCTCCCAAAGTGTTTTCTGAGATTAGTTTAACCCAAAAATGAATTTACCTATTTTCTTCCCTAAATCTCATATATTAAGAACTACAGCAACCTTGCTGCCAGCTGTTTGTAACACTGGATGTAAAGGAAAGGGAAGGAAGAGAATCTCTGTTTCTTCACTGTCCCCAAACGTTTAACATAAATCCAAGACTGCTGAAACTAAAAGCTACAAAGGCCTAGACTTATTCACACAGGGATCAGATACCTCACTAATCAGTTTAATAAAGATTTGTTATGATGTGTGCTCCGTCATTAGAATGTGCTTCAATAGAACTCACCACCCACAGTCTTGCCAAGAAATGTCTCCGTCCCTGGTGTTTGCAAAGTAAATATCTGGAACTATATTTATAGCCAAATGTTATACAACCTCAAGGGTATCCTTCGAGAACGCCATATTTACCAGGGTCTCCTGAACTCACTGCTTACAAAAAAAACCCATATGCAGGTAACTGGCTGGGTAGGAAACTTCTGCTTGAATATTCACGTATGTAAACACTCTAAACTAGAAAAGTTATTTATCACTAACTGGAGTTTCCTGAAGTGCGTTGGCCTTCTACATATTCACTTCCCTTTCTACTCCACCTCCCTCTCTCAATCCCTTTTCTTTCAGTGTCCTTTGGGAAACTTTTGGTTTCAGGAGCTTGAATAAACACTGGGACTGATCCACTATCAAATCGTATCTTGTAGGACTGAAATCCTAGATTTGGGTCATGTATACAATTATAGATGCAAATACTCTTCCACTGGATCTAGCCCTTTAGTTGTTCTGGACATGTGAAGAAGAAAACTCTAGTTTTTAGAGGACACCAGGAAGGTTCCTCCAAGGATACCTTGTGGTTTGTGGGTTTGTTTGCCCTAAGTCATAATTTTTACTTCCATCTGATTTCTGCCCAAGACCTTTATTGAGTTTATCACTCGTTGACCAATCAATCTAATATTAGTCCCTGTCCTCAGAGAATACTTAACTATATACTTCAATATAAGCTTAAGTTTTATGAAATGGTGATAACTGTGTAACTATATAGCAAATAAGTTTAATAGAAAAGAGAACATAGAATGAGTAAAAGTGAATATAAAAATAAAAAAGAAAATATTGAAAAGGCAGAGAAATTAACTAAACACAAAATATGAAAATTAAGTATAATAACATTATTTCCATTATAGAATGGAAACAGGGGAACCTGGAAAAATAACTATAATAAAAAAAGTGAAACTATTTTGAAAAATAAGCAACAGTGGAAATACAAAGAATGAAAGATGTAGAAATTTCTATACTTAGCTCTAATAACTGCATTTATCAGCATTTGCAGGACCAACTTAGTCTAGTCTGATAAAGTTTCAAATTTCTTTGGGCCTTTGCAAGATTTATCTCCTGGAAAAAAATACAGAGAACCTTTTAAATGTTTCAGCCCTACAGAGAATGTACTGTGCTCCATTAAGTACATAATAAATTTTCTGATATTTGGCATACTGCAGAAAGAACCTACTCAAATCAACTCTCCTGTTCAATATCTGTGCTGTATATTTGTAAAATTGCAGTGTGCTGTAGAATTTTTGTGGGGTGACTGTAAAAATATTCTATTGAACAGTGTTACTCCAAAATTATTTTCCTAGTTAATATCCACAACGCTTTATAAGCCCTATATTACTTTTGTTTTGTAACAGTTATTTGAGCATTAAAACTTGCAGTCAGGAACAGTTTATGACATGCTGTTTTGTTATATCTGTGTATATCTCAATTTTAGATAATATTAAAACATTAGTAAGTTTTCTCTGTGAAAAGGTTAGGATGACACAAATAGCAGCAAAGATATTTAAAGAAACATGGACATGTTTAGTGCATATATAAAGACAATGATATAATTTATGTTATGGTCAACAGTGTTAACTTCGAGATGGTTGTCTCAAGATGGACACACACTAACAGTCAGTTTTTAAATCTCAGCTAACAGTTTTAATTAAATTCAGAAGTTTTCTGCTAACGTCCACACTTCTGATTTTTTCTAGTAAATTTGTTGGCTGAGTGTCCTCATGACAGATATTCTTCTCACTTCTGAGAAGAAAAGAAAAAGACATTTTCATGTATTCATAAGTCTCAAGACAAGTTTACTCAGTTATACTATTGTCTTAACCACACTGCAAATATCTGGTCACTCTGATTTATATAAGTAGTTTATGAAGAAATGCATGTTAAACATATTTAGAAAGATGACAAAAATGCCAATAAATTATTAAAACATAATTTAGAGAAAAAATTAATTTCTAGGTATAAATAGATGTAGATCAACAAATTACAGTATCTAAGAACGTTATTAGTTTAGATTTCGTAGTTGAAAGATTTCTACATGTGTGAAGTATAATCTTTCCAAATGTTTTCTTTTCTGCCACTAGAGGGTACTCCAAGAATTTACAGTATATTTATAGCAAGGATTTATTTGGGGTTTTTTGGCCTGTAAATGATCAAGTACTGTTGTCATACTAAACCTTAGGAATTTAACCCCCCCAAAATCTTGATATTAAACAACATTCAAAACCAGCCTAATATACCTTCTCAGCAAAATAGTGCAGCATACCCGAATTCTAAGGAACATTGACTGACATGTAGTTCAGATTTAGTTAAACAAATCCTACTTTTAAATTCTCTAAATTGTTATATTTTCTTTATTTCAGACACAATTCTCTGGTTCACATCCTGTTTCTTCATCCAGATTTGGGCAAGGCATTCCATTATTGGCAGGCTGAAGAAGTACAAAACGAGTTCTGATCTTGGTCCCTGTTTTTCTGCAAACACCTCTACAAAGACCCCAGGAAGACCATTGTGAAACCTCACAGTCCAGTGGTGTTTCTGCAATATACACAATAAAAAGGTAACTTTACATAAATTTGTGCTTAAGGCAAATACATAGTTGGCAAAGCATTAAGGACTGGTAATCAAATAGCAACCTTTCTTACAAAAAATACATGTGATATTAAAAAAATCCATATGTTGTCTCATAAATAAAAGTGTCTGTTTTCAGATCCTAAGCTCATTGACAACGGTTATTATTATGATTATTATTACTGTTGTTATTATTATTATTGTAATCTAGAGACTGTCTGAGGTAATACATCAAGTAGTGCAGCATATTGTCTATTGAATTGAAAATACAGAATTCCTATCAAAGAAAACTATGCTTAAAATAATTGCATTGAAAAGATTGCATTACAAAACATTTACTGTCACTTTTATAACTCATTTGCCTTTGCATGGCTTACTAAAACCACCAGGATTAAAGCTTTTCTCTGCTTTATTTAGGTATATTTAGATTTCTTTGCAGATAGAGATTGTTCCTCTAGTTGTTCATATCAAATTCCATTTAACTTCTGTTCCAATTTGCTTCAGAAATAAAGTCCCATTCTTTTATCATTAAGTCATCTTGCTATTGTTTGATATGTACACTATAGTTCCCTTTGCCAATAAAGATATTCTGTCACTACTTTTTAATACTAAATGGGTTTTCATTATAGTTTTAATTTACTGCAAAAAAAGAAGTCAGAAACTCTAAAGTACTTTTCCTAATGTATACTTCCTATGTATACTTGAAAATATCTCTCATAAAAATATAGGTGACTGTTCCTTAGTATGTTAAATAAAAATATTGCTTGTCACAGGAAATTGCCTCACAACTGTGTATTACAGCATTTGTGGGTAAAATAGGTGTCCACAAAAACAGCTTTAAATGCCATACTAAATGTATGACCCCTGGTATAAATTTCTGGTATTACAGTGCAACTCACCACTTCTGTTGTGATTACTCATTCCCATGTTTCTAGAGGGAATGAGGGACACAGTTTTATCTCTGGAAATTAAATCTATCTTTTTGATTCTGGAATATGTTTTTAAATGGACTTATTTACTGGTTAATATACAGTAAAGTGGGGATATACGATTAAAAATTATTTTTTAAATACCATACTTTAAATGCATTATTTTAGATGTATATCCTAAAGAGGGCTAAACATTCCTTTCAAATATTGTGGAGAAAGCATATGACTGAAACTGAGATATGTAGCACTGACTTTGAATATGTCTTGTTTACTAACAGAAACCCATTAAAACACTATAAATTGATAGAATTTATTAAATTATAAAGCATGCAAATTATGCATTATTAGATGTGTAGGGAATGAGCTTTATTTTAGTGACTGTGGGGTGACTTCAGCAAGGAGCTTGAGGGATAAAATCTTCAGACATTCTGGAGAAGCTCTTGGAACATGGCAGCTCTTACAGGAATACATTGGGGATTTAGCCCATTGCTGTCTCTCAAATAGTATTTAGGATGTCAATATTCCTATTCTTAGCCCTTCCTCTTACGCTTTGTAAAAATCCACTAGGAAAGTGTAAAGATAAAATCTCGTTGGACACTGTTCAACTGCTATCTTTCCCTTAGAGCAAATATTGTATTAATTATGTATTTGTTAATTTGGAGATCTGAAAATTACCCTTAAGACTGACTGGATGGGGTATTTTGTATGTTTTCCTACCAAAACAAAGTTATTAGATAATACTTTTAAGAAAATAAATATAAAAGAGAACATTATTTTTGTTGTCAGGATGTATGTTTCTATCACAAATATGTCCAAATGAATTGAATTATATCAATTCTTATTGCACATAACTATTAAGCCCTCTGACCCAGAAGAAGACAGCAATAATAGTTCTCTTGCTCCATCATCATGTGTAAAACTTAATGATTAATATCTACTTCAAAATTGCAAAGAATTTGGGAACTCTGATTCTGATCAACTGTTGTTTATTTCTCATAGAATTCACTGGTTATGCTGATACTAAGTCTTGATTAGCCCTTATTGCGGGTAAAACCTAAACTTTTGAACCATAGCTCAAATATGCAATCCCTTCTTTATTCTTGCAGGGATTCTCTTTTATGTCAGCTGGCTTGTTTGATTTCCCATGTGTGAATCTGGAAACTATTCCTATGCAGGTAGGAGAATATTCTGCTTATTCACCTATTTCATCCACATCACCTGCCAGATTTCCATATATTTTCTGAGTGAATAGAAATAACAGAATTGAGCATATCAAAATACTAATCACTTACCTGAGACAGAGTCTATTATTTCATTGCTTTTAGCTGGAAGATTAAGATAAGGTGCAGGAAGACCCAGCTGGTTTTTCTTTAACTTCACCATTGTCACTTGAGCAATAGGTGGCAAAATTTTGAGTTTGGGATAATAAAATGAGTTTGCTGGATGACTTGGAGAGGAACAAGTAATCTGTGAAATAAAAAGGGGAACCTTAAAGAAACTACATCATATTAATAAGAAGATAACTGTGAAATCATGTTTACATCATGCTAATAACTTTTTGGCAAGTAAAATGCAGGTAACCAGTTTCTATGAACATCAGTTCACACACTTACTGCTGGTAATCCCAGAATTTTTATGCATAATGCTTTGGGACTGGGCACAATTAATTGTGCCAACCTTTGGATAGAGGACTGTTCTGGGAGGTACTGAAAACACAGTGATGTATGGAATGGTCTGATGGAAAGAAGTGGATGTTATTACAAAGAAGAATACAAGAGTATTAAATATTAATATTAGGTATACTGTAGCAACTGTCATATGGATATAGGAGGCCCAATGTATTGTTTTCCAGCTTCTCTGTTCCTTTACTCATTACTCACTAGCACAGCATTTGGCTCTAGAAAAACAGGCCTTAAAGAAAGGATTAACTGAATGCTTATAGCATTCAAAACATCTGAATCAAAATCCTCTGCTCCCCACCAGCCTTAAATCACAAAATCAAAGTATGAGGCATATAGAGTATCAAGTGAGCAAAAGAGATTGAAAGTGGGGTCACCACAGCAGTGATGAAGTTCTCTGCTTTCCCTTAACTCCTTTCCCTCAAGGATAACAGTTTCAGGGTTTCAGCAATGTTTTTAACTGAAAACTCCTCCCCACATCACTATTCACTACTAAGAATTTTCCTGTTTAGATACATATTTAGTAATGTCAGGACTTCCATGAGTGTTTTCATTTTCCAGGTATTCTAAAAATTATTTAAAATCACCTAAAAATAGTAATATTTTACAGAAAATACTTTAAATGTAGAACCAAATTTTCATGATCCATCTACATTTACCTCATGAATTTGAAAGACAGAAAATAAACAAAAGCAGTAGGGTTATCAGCTATGTAATAGATCCATATAGAGAAAACATCAGCACTCTTAAATACCAAAATCAGTTTCACAAGAGTCTATCCTGTAGTCATAGGACAATGATCTTTTAAAGGCAGGACTCAAAACGTACAGGTATGAAGTGCTGAACTATGTATACACACCTACCTCTGTAACTGTGTCCTGTGGAATAGTGGCAAAGTTTGGGGAGGAAAATGTGAAACCACTATCAGTTCCAGCATCATATGGAAATAGATCTACTGATACTTCTTCCATCCAGTGGTCTCCTTCGCAGAGATTGAGGCTGTCAATACCCACAAACCAGTCAGGGCTTGGAACAATTCGTACAACAAATGAAACCTAATGAAACAAAATGATCAATGAGGATTGCATCACTTATTTGAAATGCTTCAGTCCTGCTTGTAGTAATTTTCACTTAAAATTTTTGAAAGAAATGTCATTATGATCTTCTACTTTATCGAACCTGTACCGTGCTCCCTGCAATGTGACATAGTTTTTAATTCCTACAAGTGAGAACCCAAATATTTAATTTTGGGTGCTAGTGATATAAAATAAACTTTTAAAATTAAAATGTACATTTACTTACTAAGGGATGTCTTGAATGCACTTCTAAGTCAGTGGAGGTTTGTCCTGTACCACTGGAAATGGCAGGGGCAGAGAAGATTCCATGTACACTCTGAATTTTCTCTCCAGCTTCTTCTATTTCTTTCATTAATACCCATGCTTCACCCTTTTCAGCAAAGTCACGTACACCATTGCTGGCATATTCATTTTTTTTCCACATGCTGTAGTCAGAACTATGAGTAACACCTATTTGAGTGAATACATGGCATGACATAAAAGTCTGGTTTAGATTGTCCCTATTTCTTCAATTTATCTGGTTTATTTCTGAGGTTAAAAAAAAATGTGTATAAAAATGAGTGAACACTAAAACATTTGGCTTATCACTGTTTATTTCAGCTGCAGCCAATTGAAAACAGAAGTCAATTGAAAACAGTTGTAGGGTTTTGAAAGCATTGTGGATACTTCAATTTCTGCATTTCATTCTTAATAACATTTGCTATTTTTTTCCTTTTTCATTAGTTCTCTTAAAATATACTATTAAGAAGAAAAAAAGATCACAGTGGTCAAGAGATTTATCTCTTCTTAAAACTGTACATGCTTCACTTACCCAGCATTGATGACCACTGTGCTGGGGGCCTATAAAGTGGATACTGCTTAGGGAAAGCAGTCTGACTCCATTTCCCTGTGAAGATTATGCTGTACTTAGCAAGTTCCTCTGCTGTGCAAATAGAATCATCACCCACAGGCAAGCTGCTGGCATAACCTAGCATTGTTATAAGTAAGGTCCAGATAACTTTACAGGAGCAGTAGACAAACATCAGGTTTTCCATTCCCTACCACACGAAAATAAAAAAATATGTTAGCCATATTAGTCACTCTAAACTCAAAATTGAATAACAGTTACCTAATAAAATGTAACGTACCATAAGTTATAACCAAAAAGAAAGTATATATCTGAAACACTAAAAATTGTTATGCTTCTAAAAACATCATTATAATGCTTTCAGATTTTATATTTCCATGCTATATACTACAAATCTGTAACTCTAACTGGGACAAGTGTTTCTAATGAAAATAAAAATATCTTAACCTTGTCCATAGTACTACCTCTGAGAAAAATCTGTTTCTGATTTCCTTTTGAAATCTTATTAGAGTCACATCTTGAATCAATTAGAGTAGCAACTGTTTCTGTGGAAAACATTAGTGGTATATTTATTCTTCTAAAAATTAAATTGCAGGTTACTTTGCCAAAAGAAATGATTTATTTTAAATTTGTGTTCTACAAAGGCTGTTTTATGGCATAACATTTAAAGTCAAATACATTTCATATTTATATAAATTACTTTGCTGTCATAACTTGTGCATTAAAATATACACTGTAATTGCTTCAGATTGTCTAAGCTACACAGTTGTTAAAAAACAATATTTTTACAAAGTTGCTATCACAGATTGTACAAATTTTGTTTTTAAATTAATAAGATAATTGCATCAGACTGTTGAACTCCATCAATTGTTTAAAATAACACCCCTAAAATCTTACTTTTAAATGCCTTTGTCCTTTGAGAAAACTATACAAATACATCTACAGCACTAATAATATATTAATCTGTAAAAAGAGCTGTGAATACTCACTAAATATTTCCTCTGGAGCACTGGTAGGGGGAGAGCACCTGCTTTTGCTGGCAGCTGAGTTGGTCTGCAAGAGAAGACAGTAGGAGTCTTGCTATTTATGCCTGAAGAGGGTCCCTTTGGTCCAACAATTATTGTAATCTTTAGACTTTCCAGGTCTGCAAAATCATGTCATCTTCTTGTTTGCAATCTTTTTGGATGGACTATCAGAGGTTTCCTGTTTGTCACCTGGTTCAGGTTCCTATCAGAAGACTGTGATGCCGAATAAACGAAATGCCTTAAAAAAATGCCTTGGATTCTTAGTAACAGTTCAAGTTTTCTGGTGCCTTTACAGCTCTCTGCTCTTATTAATGCCTCCAAGCTATACAAATGAACTGATTCCAACACTGAAATAGTTCTAGTGAATACACTTTAAATGAGAAGCATGTTTTCTTGTAAGTTTTATTGTCTGACAGATGCTCCTTCCAAACATTTACAGAGAGCTTGCTCACTCTCACACACCATATGTATGTGTTCAAATAAAAAGGGTGAGGCAGCTAAAAAAGTCAAGAGGAAAAAAAAGTTGTATTTCATAATTGCACATACTCACACAGACTGTCTCCTGAAAATATGAATTAATTTAAAGTAGTACAGTGTATATTTTTGTGTTCTACAGTACCATATGCTGGATGATGAAAGGGCTCTGTAACATTGTGGTTTCTTTGGAAAGAGTGGTTTTGGGAAGCTCTGAGATTTTTCTTAGCTGTCTTCAGAGTAAAAACCCCAAATAAAAATCTTATTATTACAGTTAAATCATACATCCTCTGTAGCCCAGTACATATACTTACATCACTAAAATTATTTAAATTGTCTATGAAAAATTATGCATAATACAGTGACCCAATTAAGAAATAGTTTTTAACTTTTATTTTAAATCATTTTCCCCACCACTTTTTAAAGAAGGGAAAACAAGGGCTTTGTGCCATGCCTATAAGATTAACAAATGCTACTATGATTGATCAGCAAAGGAAGCTAAATTCAAAATTTTACATTGAACCATGAAGAAAGTCGTTCATAGTCTTCTTCTGAAATTGTGAGGAATATCACTTAAGTACTTCCACAGATCTCTAATATGATGGACAGCATATATTTTACTTTTCAGCTGAAACTCCCAGGCCATCATTGGTATATAGTTTAAGTGACACACTATTGTCCACCAGGAAGGGGTTAACAAACAACAGGTTTGAGCTTTGTGGCACTTTAACTCATAATTTGTCTTTTTCTTCTGCCTCTCACGCCGTGCTAAATCAACAAGAAAAGCCAAAAGATTAATAAACTGGGACATCTGAATGGAATTTCCATTGATTATTCTCCTGGAAAAATGGAATCTATTGCAAGTTTCAACATAGATGGATTCAGCAATCATAACCACAATTCCTGTATATCTGGATAGATTATGGGAATTCTATAGCAGGTTAAGCCATCTAGAGAGGGACATGCCCTTTATTTCCAAGGCCCCTCCATCCTATGTTAATGCAATATTTTCCATAGTTGATTTCTCCTCCAGGAGCCAGACTCCGCTGAGAAAAGGAGCAAAGAAACCTCATGGGTACTTTTATACCTGTTCTTTGAGTGTTCGTTGCAGGATGATATTTGAATTACATCCAGCTCACTCCCTCCTATGCACAGAATTCCAGATCCACAGGTTCCTTAGAGAATCAAGTCTACTTACATCAGAAGTGGGTGGTCTTTCCAGCCCATGCAGTCTTCTAGAAGAAAGAGCCATACAAAGGTCCCACAAGTTTTAAAGTGTTGCTCAGAGCACTGTTAAAAGTACTTAAGGCTAAATTATTTATTACTAAGTACCTTTGAACTTCAGTAGGTTTTGCTGTTTATCATCACAATTACTGAGCCAGCTAACTTCACATACTGAAATATACTGTAAGACTTCCAGGACAATTCTTAAAATGAGAACAAAACAATTAGCTCCGGATCCACTACAGAATTATTTAATATATCAGACCAGATTTTTCCTTTTGAAGAAAAACTACTGCCAAAAGGCACATCACCAGACTAAATCATTCTGGTTCCATGACTACATGTTATGAATGAATCCAGGAACAGGGCAATATATGCAAACTGCATAATTTGGCATAGCTATTATAAGAAAAACTCACTAAATGATAAAAGAAACTGAATAATTGTAGATCATTAACTTGGGATGTCATTTGAGGTTTCTAAGTACAGAATAGACAAACAAATATTAAAAATCATAGGAATTATAGCTGATTCTTCCCTTGGAATAGGAGTAAATGATGTTTTATACAGAGCATTCAAGAGGCTTTCCAGTTCTATAATTCTGTATAAGAAGATTATGCTTCTTCTAGAGCTCTATTACTCCAATTTCTTGAGAATATCATACTCTTTAACATCAGTTATGCAGTTAATGGAACATAACTGAGTCTAAATCTTTTATATTCCAACCTTACCAGTGTGTGAATGAGATACTCTGAAGCATTTTAGCTTTTAAAACCAAAGACTGTAGATACTTACAGGGAAACTGGATTATAATCCTTATTCTTGTTCTCCAATCTTGGTCCAAATGGAGGGTTTCTTCCTTAACACTCATACACTGGACCTTCCCCTGTTTACAGCGAGGGATCTACCTTGACAGATTTCTCAGGATTAAAATCTTCAGGGCATACAACCTCATTCTTATTTTTGTTGGATTAATAATGAACTTTGATAAAATACAGTGTTTGTAAATGTATTTATCTCCTCTCTTCTCTCCTCACCCCACCATCCAACCCCCATCACTGAAGGAGGGGGAAAATGGAGAAAAACATACTGAATAATGTTGTCAGAAAATACTAACTTGAGGACTCCCAGTCTTATTTCTTTAAATAGAAACTGTGATAAGCATAGCCTCTGACATTGTGAAGACATCGAAACACTAAACATATCTCATAGATGGGAAGAAAAAAAAAAAAAAAACACGACCCAGAAAAAACAGATTTCCACTCAATGGATTACTTTCATGACTGGGAAGACACAGATGCCAAATTTCTGTGGGCCAGCAGTTGGAGAAAAAATTTGCTGTGGGATCAGAACCTATGCTTGCATTCCTTCTTCAGTTTGTATATCTCATTAGAAAGCAGCTGAAAATTCATGGAAAACTGGAAAAAAACCCTTCCATTTAGGAACCATTTTGTCTGTATATAAAATTGGACTTTTTTCTTTCTCTTTTACAGTAAAATAACTTTTGTTTTTTCAGTCCTCAGGTACATCTATTTTCTATCCACATGCATATCTCTATAGACCTTGAATGCTAGAAAAAATAAGCATATAAAGCTTGTTTTACTTAAGCACCAGTGCTAAAGTGTGCCCTGTGTTTGATTATACTTGCAGAATTGTGCAACTCCTGCTGTTTCTTGTCAATAAGAGAACAGTCTTACAGTTCCGGCACGCTTTACCAAGTTTCACAGGATGAAAGCTGGAAAGTATAAAACAAAAGTAGCCTCCAGATACTTTTGGGTTTTAAATAAAAATAATAACTGTGTCTAAAATATTCTGTATTTTTGTTAACCAAGAATAATTAATAAAACAAGAAAACAAGGAAAAAAGCCCTACTTAAAAATATAGCAGTATAGACAATACCATGTTGATTCTTGAATCATTTCACCATATGAAAACATTTACATGAACATGTTTAGGCTATCACACAGGAATATAACACATTAAAGGGGGTATAAATTCCATTTTGACTAGTCAGAGAATAATTTATCCCTTTTTATGGTAAGCAACAAGATTGTCATGATTAGTTTCGACCTTTCTATTAAACTGTAAGATTACAAGACTAGTATGATTGATCTGAAGTTAGCTTGCCCACCTTTATTCAAAACAGGAGCTCCATAAATTTTGTTTTTATATTCCTGAAGTATTCCCACATATTATAATTTTACTAAAACATTTTCTATTTTACTTTTAAGGAATATATGTGCAACTTTGATATTCACAGGCTGTTTAATATGCTTATGACTAGATAGCATCTCTTTGTCTACCAAGAAAAGCATAATATTGTATTACTTAAGAAGGTTTATATTGCCATGCTTTCTCTCATGTAGTTACCGTGGATACACATACGATTATGGACACTCAGCAGTGCCAAAAAATTTGCATTCTGTCAAAACCCTCTGAGCTCTAAGTTGTAAAATCTCAGTGCCAGAGTGGCAAGTAGCAGAATATTTCATCATGGAGAAATTGTGGTGTTAGTTTGGACGCTTTTATAAAATGAGGCGTTTACATAGCATAATAAAGTATTCTCAATATTGGATGATACAACAGTAGTGAAGGCAGATTTAATCTCTATTTAACTTTTGGGATAAAAAATTAGTTTCTATGAACTAGATATGTAAAGTGCCACAATATATAATTGAGGTCTAGTCATTATAGTCAATAGAATCTAGAAAACTGTTCAGCTCATCCTTTAATCCATACCTGTATTTGACCAATTATATAACTGATGAGTAGCTCTCTGGTCTCCACTAACTGTATTGATAAGCTCTCCATTGATCAGACACCTAGCTCTTGTGTAAGAACTTACAAATAAGTAACTGATTCAGTCATTTCTCTACCTTTTGCTGAATCCAAAGCCTAGTGGACTTCATTAGATGTTCTCACTGATGACCGTAACTGACATTCAAACTGCTAGAAGGGAATTGTAAATTCACTCGGTATTTTGAGTTTAGAATTTCCCTTTGCAAGGGTGTTGGTCTTGGGGTTGAGGAAGGAGTGATTTGTCATAGTTTTGGGGTTTTTTTAATTCAGGTCTCACTGAGGACTCAAGCCAAGATAAGGAAAAGGAAAAGGATAAGGAAAAATCCCAGTTTTATCAACTGAAATGACACTGTTGAGCAACAAAAAGCTCTTCTGTCATCTTCTGCATTCTTCTGTCATCTGTATTTAAGTCACTTCTACTACTGAAAACCCTCATATGTAGGTCTGCACTAAATAACCAAATCAAGGTTTCCCATGACAGTGACCAGACATTATGCTTCTCTCTGGGCTTCTTCCCCTGCCCACAGCATATGTTCACCCAAACTGTACCACAATAGCAAACATATAATGTTTTTTTGTTTTCCAAAAGAATTTGCAAGAAGATCCTAGAATCCCACCCTTTTGTGCATCCCAACTTCTTATTTTCACCTCCTTTATACCAGTAAAAAGTGGCTACACAGTGAGACAAACTGGAGAATTGATCCAGTTAAGAGAAAATATTTCTAAGCTATCTTTCAGTCAACTTAGTTCCTTCATTTCATTCATGTTTTGACACAATAAACACACTAGAACAAGCAGCTCCCAACAGAAAAAAAGGATGGGAGCACACATGTCACTGGCAATACCGGGTTTAATTTACATGGAAGTGGCAGTGTAACACACTGGTTAGTGAGACTAAGGATTGTATCTCTCAGTACATCCATTGCTTCAGAGTTCTTTGGCTATTCAAATTTGTTGACCTCTCTAGTACGCAAGGTGTTTGACTTTTCTGGAAAGCCACCTTCACCAGCATTTTTGGTTTCCTAATCTATTATTTATCATATTAATGCAGAAGTTGTCTTCTACTGTATCGGTATCCTTCAGAAATCAACTACTGTTAGTAAGGTCAGAGTTATTTTCTCCCGTTTCTCCATAATCCTTCAGGCATAATATGTACAAGCTGGTCATTCTTGGTGCTCACAAGTGCTCAGGAACTGGAACATCCTGATGACCTAACCATCAAGGTTATCTATTCAATTCATCTGTAGCAGAAACAATGAAATCTTGTAATCTCCTTAATGAGTAAAGAAGAGTAATCTTGTCAACAATGAACTCAACTGGAAATAAATAATTTAAATCCTCTCCACCAACTCAGCAGCTAAATCACAACTCAAGGACCTCCTTCCTGTTCTTTAATATCACAAATATTTATATAACTGTCTATACAAAGTTTTAAGAAGAAAATAACTGAAAACTGGCTAAGGAAAAATAGGGACAAAACTACAGTAGGATAATTAAAAGAATAAAAATTAGTTTTCATTTTGTGGAAAATATGGATTGCATCTTCCAACAAATACAATCTTCCTATTATATCTTTTACTCCATTTGTAAAGTGGAATGAACCTGTACCATTAACACTTGTATTTCCTGTTTGCCATTGAATTTCCATTGTAGAAAGATTAAAATACTAAATAATTCTACTCATACCACCACAAAGGCTACTTTTGAAAGTATTGACTTTCTAAGACCAATTTGATGATTTCTTTGCCTTGTAGAAACATCAGTCCTTTATCTCTGTGGCAACACTATAGAAGACCACCAAATTATATTTCTAAAATAGTCACTACCAAGGCCTCTCTTTTCTTATATTATTTCCTGCTTAATGATCAGCTTTGTTGATTTCTCTTGTATTTTTTTTTTCAAAGGTCTTAAATATATTGAATGATAGCTGTGGAGTTATTAGAGTTACGTCCATAATCCATGTGAATAATGAGGTACTGTAAAAAATGAACTGATCTTTTCTGGGAAGTCATCCATATATCACAGTCTGAACATAGCTCTAATTCAGTAAAAGATCCATTATTTGTTACCACAGCATAGTGTCTTCCTCCCACTCCAGTACTGGTGAGGAGTCAGTTCAGACCTAAAGGTAGCATTGGAATGAGGAGTTGTGGTCCACTGGCAGAGTGGAACCATATTTTTGGGACCAAGCTATATTTTTTACCTTCTCCCTGTGGAAATTATATAGGA